TATACCATATTTATTCAAACACAAGATGAAGTTTCCTCCCCCTAATTGGCAAGGGGAAAAAGTAGGGCTGTGTGAAAGGGCACCATTTTGTTTTGACTGCTGTTTCAACATTTCAGCTGTTTCAGCTGTTTTGAAGCACTGTTCCTTTTCATTTTGTTGAAACTGTTTTCGCTGTTTTGACACGTTTCAACATTTCGCCCATAGGCTATAATGTGGAACAACTTTGTCATTTATTTCCTGATTCGAATGAAAACAGCTGGGATGGTAGCCTCCTGCTCAGGCCACAAAGCCTGTCAGTTTTCAAAGAGATAGGTGCCGGGGTTTCTGGGAAACTGCACCTCAAAAGCAGCATGTGTTCAGCAATGGAAGCCAACTATGAAGTTGATTAAATGCAACCAACACTGAGCATGACTATAAAACATGTGGCCTGTAGTGGGCAAACATGCTGATGGAAACCTACCTTTGTCTGTTTTTTTGCACCGGTTCTGGAAGCACTGCAATACCAGGTCAATGCATGGAGTGGGTGGTGCAAGCTCCAGTTCCACCACCCAATACCAAAAAAAAACAACTGCTCAATATAGACCTCCAATAGAGAACTTATTAGAAACAATCACCTGCCTGGGGAGTCCACCTGCATGGTCACAGTGCTTCCCCTGCCCTACAACAAGGACAGGGTAATGCAGCCCACCTGAATAAGACATCTGGTAGTGCCAACTAAGTGGAGTCCCCTTTACCACTAACTGTTTTTAAGGCCTGGTGAGTCAATACATTGCATACATTATTACTTTCTTTTCACTCCCACAGCTGAGCTGTACCTTTCCCTTTTCAAGTGATTCCTGTTTCTTTACCAGGCTTGGCAAACATGAAACAGGGCCCCCAAACAGGTCACCCATCTGTTACCCCCTCTCTCAGCCTGGTGCATTAGTGTGGTCTCGCCCCAGGTTGCCCTGCACCTCATTTGCATACAGATTTTTGGAGTATCCCAGGACTTGCAATGACAACACCCAGTTCCAGTCATGAATGGGAGCTAATTAGCACCAGGATTCTGTATGGGAGGTATCTGGAATACACACACACATACTGAGCAGTGCTGAGCTGTGGGGTCATCATGGCTTGAAATATTGTTGACTGGTGGGGTCCAGTCCAGTGAACTATGTTGCAAATCATAAGCCTTTGGACTAATATCATGCGTAGTTTACAATTAGCAATAATCGTGCCTTGGATTATCCTCATTGGCTACAATACTGCCACTGCTTCTGGAACTGGGTGTTGTCATTGCAAGTCCCAAATCATAAGCCTTTGGACTAATATCATGCATGGTTTATACTACATATAAGCAGGTGCCAAAATGCTGCTCAAAACTGTGTTTATTGAGTATCTGTGCTAAAACAGCAGCAGTTTCAAAAAAAGTAACATGCTTCAGTTCTGGATGAACTAAATATGTGTGTACTACATGCAGATTGCTACAGCTATGTTTAATTTCAAGGTTGTTGTTGCCAGGGGAGAAGTTGAGGGGGAAGCAGAGAGCGAAGGGGCTATCTGACTCCCCCCCAATTTATTCTCCCTGCTGCAGTAGTGGAAGAAGACAAATTCATGGTAAACCTCCAATAATTAGATTCTATACCTGGAAAATTATAACAAATTTATCAATAGAGTCCTAATATATTGAGGGGGGGGAAGGGGTCTTAAAATCAGGGGTCTAATTTGGGGGGGAGCAGGGGTCTTAAAATCAGAGTCATCTTCTAATCGGGTAAATACAGTAAACGTTTGGGGTATAAGTAAGCATATAGCATCAGTTCTTGTGCAAACTGTTCTTCGGATAAATGTTGCTAAGTTCAGGTTGTAATTAAAGCAGTGGAAACGGGCAGGGTGATCATCAGTGTACTGCAGTTTTAATATATGAAGTAACAAGGTCAAGAAAGCTGAAGTGAATATTTTAGATGATAGAAAAATTTTGTTTCTAATCATGTCCATTCTTGAGAGATCAGCCTTAACATGGTAACCGTTTTCTTATGTGCAGCAAAAAAAAGCAGGCTTTCAGCATTGCAGTTACCTAGTTCACTTGAATCCTTGATGGATATCAGCAAGGTACTTAACATCTTGTGTTTATTAAATATCCACGGCTCAGTGCAGAGCAATTGTGGTGCTTGCCCTGATGCTTTAGACATATCTCAGCTCTCATGGCTACAATGAGTAGCTGAAATGGAACGAATGATATTTGGGAGTCATGATTTAATGCTTGAGGTAAAATAGCTGGTCATTCATTAACGTGTGTTGAGAGTTGCTTCATGGGAAACAGCTGACGCTTCTAGAATTTGTTCCCTGGCTAGTAAATAGCACATCTCAGGACAGTTAAGGATGTGAAACGTTACCCTGAGAGAACTTTAATCACATGTAATTAATTTCATTTTCCCTATAAAATCTTATTTCAGGCACAGTGAAGGTCTTCCTGCAGAGTGCTCATTTCAGCAAAATTAAGTAATGGAAACTAAATCTGGCCATTCTCTGATAGTGTTGTATTGAATATGCCAGGTCTTTAGTGTCTACAGGCGAAAATGTTTAAATACCATGCTAAAAATGTCTTACAGGCATACTGTGATATTGCTGAAACTTCTGTCACTCAAACTAGTTGTTTCCTGCTGTGCCCTTGCTCTGTTCCATTTGTCTCTGCGTCCAAAACAGCTTTTCTCTGCTGTACAGAGAACCTCCCATCAATTTATACAAGGAATCCTTTACAGAGCATACCTTAAAACTCTAACCCCAAAATAATTGCTTTGATAAAGGTTGCTGAGATGCTGAGTAGCAGAGAAGAACAGAAACAGTTTAATAGGCAGTTGGAGGCTGAGCTGCTGCGGTCACAGGTTTTTTTCCTTTCCTTTGATACCTGGTTGAAAAAGTCAGTAAATAATTTCAGTCGATTGTAATTATCAAGTATTTCTTATGTCCTCTCCCCCATGCTGCTCTGTGTTTTCTGTGGCCCAATGGAGGCAGTAATGAAAAGCTTACATTTTCAACTTAGCCCAAAATAAAAGGGTTCACCTACGGCTCTGTGGTATTTTTATCTCTAACCGTTTTAAAAGCTCTTCCTGAACTGTTTCTTTTCTTCACATGTTGGACTCTTATAACTGGAGATGCTAGATCATTGGCATTCCCTCTCAAAAGCTTTGATATTTTTCTGCAGTTGAAGTCTAATTTATTTCCCTCCCTTAATTGCTTTTACATCACTGTCTGATAGTTTTCTGTGCATTCTTTTTCTTACATAAGCAAGCTTCTTGAAATCATTTTTTGCTATCAGATGTTTTCTATTTAGAGCTACTGTATAATGTAATGTTTTTCACAGTTTAGTAAGAGGGAAAAATAAGCATGGGAAAGGCTTTATTAAGGACTTGTCTATACATGGAGCTATTCAGACCAGTTAGTTCAGAATGCCTGTTCCTGAATCTTTCTGTGAATGCAGAACCCTATTTCGTTTCATTGCAGGTACCCCAGACATGTTCCTGCAGCTGTTGGCACTTGTCCATAGCTTGCAGTTCAGCTCAATGCCCATGCCTCCACTTGGTTCCCGAGCATGCTCAGTAGGGCTCTAGTCTGGCTATGCAGATACGCATCATGCTTACCCAGATGTGCATGTGAGACTGGATAAGTCCTGCAGTGGTAGCTATTCAAAAGCCTGCAACTAGTGAGTAGGTGAGGTTAAGAGAGGTAGATGTGTGGGGCTAGGAGAGAGAGAACAAGCCAGAGGGTGTGTGCTGCAGTGAAAGGGAGGAGGCATGATAGGGGATTCTGTTTTGCTTCTAGCAAAATATTAGAATCTGAAACTCTGCATAAGTGCCAAAAACTGCAGACAGCTCCATTTAGGCACACGATTCTGCCCTTAGTGTTATTCCAGTTCAGATTAATCGTTTTTTAAAGTAGATTGAGTTTGAAAAGAAATAAGTCTAACTCCGGATTAGAAGCATAACATTTGATGTTAGTTGGGAGCAGCTGTTGCTCTTTCAGTTGCACCCAACCTTAGAGTATAAACAAGGATTGCCAAGTGAAACAGGACAGCTGTGGCAGGATGCAACCCACCATAGTTGATCTGCTCCATTGGAAGAAACGCACAAAGCATGGTGTCTTGCATTGGGCAGGGGCCCAATCCTGTAAGACAATGGCAGTGTGTTCCCCGCTTACAGAGATTCCATGGAGATTCCTTGGGGCACATCTCTGTAAGTGGGGAACCGTGGCTTTCCCTGCTTCCAGAGACGTGTCCTGGTGATTGATTGGGATGTGTCTCTAAGAGGGGAAAGCCAGGCTGGTGCTCTCAGGGCTTGAGGGGGGATTGGGCCCCATAGGCCCCAGAAACACCTGCCTAGAGCGACTGGAACATAAAGCAAGCAGACATTGCTCCACTTAAGCAACAGAAATTATTACCACTTTCATTGCACCCAAGCAGAATGGTATGGTACACCAGGCAAGTGGCCGGGCAGGCACCGCTGCTGCTTTGCAGGAGAGGATATACCACATGCAGGCAGGATGGTGCCTGCTTTAGTCAGCCCACACGGCAGCATGCTGCTCCACCTTCCTGCTGGACTCCAGCCTGGGACTTTTGACCAACCAGCCAGGACTAGCCTATGAAATTCGGGAGCGTCCTAGCCAAACTGGGACGTGGTCACCTTAGGCATTTGTGATGCAACAAGGGGTGGGGATGTCCATTTGCTTGACCTTTATGCCACCATAAAAATGTTACGGCAGCACAAGGGCAATGTCTGTTTCTATCCTTAGTGTAAGCTTACCCAATGCTGCAGTCTTTCAAAGGATATCACAGCAGCCATGCTCCTCTTTTGAGGTATATTTTGTCCAGGCATGCTTTACGGCAGTAGGCCTCTGCCAGAGGCTGAAATGCACTATTTTGCCTTCTGTATTGCAATCAGGGTTATTCACAAATACCAGTTTCCCTATTCAGGGCCTTATTTTACATAAGTAGATTCTAACCTTTTCAATTTTTTTTTTTTTTGTAGGTTTGCAGCAATTCAAATTAGTGTGTCAGAACCAATTATCCCATTTAGGGAGACTATAACAAGACCTCCAAAAGTTGACATGGTGAATGAAGAAATAGGAAAGCAGCAGAAAGTTGCAGTGATACACCAAACTAAAGAAGACCAAAATAAAATCCCTGAAGGAGTTCAGGTGGATTCTGATGGACTCATAACAATTTCTACACCAAATAAATATGCAACTCTCAGTGTAAGAGCCATGCCACTTCCAGAAGAGGCAACTCGGCTCCTTGAAGAAAATAGTGACTTAATTCGTACTATGGACCAGTTCAATGCATCTTTGAATGAGGATAAAAAAACCCATGAGATAAATCAAAAGACCCTTGACAGGATACAAGAATTTAAACAAAAAATGGAGCAAAATCTTCAAGGAAGAAAGTGGAGAAATGCTGTTGATCAGATTTGGTCATTTGGTCCACGAAAGTGTGGGCCTAATATTTTGTTGCACAGGTTTGAAGGCTACAAAAAATCTGTATGGCAGTGTCTTGATAAGACTACTAAGGAGGTTAGTAAATATCGAGATTTTGACAACAGCATAGTAAGTGGGTTTCAGTTGGCTACACTTTCAGGTCCTATGTGTGAAGAACCTCTCATGGGTGTCTGTTTTATAGTGGAAAAATGGGACATCAGTAAAGTTGAAGAGATAATGTCAACTAAAAGGCAACAGTCAGAGGAGCGTGATGCTACAGAATGGAAACAGGATGAAGATGAAGCCACCTGTCTTTCAAGAAGTCATATCACTGAATGCTCCAGTGAAGATAAAGAATTTGAAGATAGTAGTCAAGGTAGTCCAAAATCATCTGAGAAAGCAAGTAAACGCAAAGGGGAAGCTTTGCTTGCAGATTGCTATGGACCTTTCTCTGGACAACTGATTGCCACCATGAAAGAGGCTTGCCGTTATGCATTGCAAGCAAAACCACAGAGACTTATGGCCGCCATGTATACATGTGAAATCATGGCCACTGCAGAAGTACTGGGTAAGAAGGACAATTTAAATCCATAAATAATTCCCTTGTTGAATGTTAAATCTAAGAGTTTTATGCATTATATTGGGTCAGAAAGCTTAACTTGATTAAATGTTTTACTAGAAGTATTTTATAGTTCTCCAGTGGAGGTGTACCATAAATCTCTGGTGCCTATAATAGTGATATCATACTGAATGGAAAAAAAATAACAAAATGTCTTTATGCTTTTGTATTAGATAGACATAGGACTATAATACTCTTCTGGAAACAGAAGATGCAAAACAATCACTGTCTGACAAGATTTAAATTTCAGCTGTAATAGATTCACCCAAATATTAAAATGCTGCTCCAAAATTTAAACATTTATGCCTTTGTAGTATCCAGAAGGCATCAAGATGTAATTAGAAAGCAGACAATAATGCAGCAGAAAATTGAGAGGAAAGTTCTTTTTGCTGTATGCTAAGAGCAAAGACTTGGTTATAGATCCCAGGTCACCACTGATTTAAGAAGTTAATATAATCATTAGTATATAAAGGAAAGAGGGAATCTTAAACGATTTTAACATCCTGTTAGTAGCTTTTTCTGGTAACCTCCTTTTCTGTCTCATTGGTATGTAAGTTACTTATTTTGTAAACCCACTGAATGTCAAATTGGTGTAATTTATGTTACTGCACCACTTACATCTACTTGAGCCTGTTTTTATGACTTACTTACAATTGCCATTTAAGTCACCCTTGATTTTTTAATTATGCCCATAGATTTTCATGTTGTAGACACTTCCTGCTGCAACAAGTTGGGTCCAGTACCTTGAGGTTTTCTTTCAATTTTCATTGCCCCAAATGCACTACTCACAACTGAAGTTAGTGTATCTCATGTGCAGTAATTTAAAATAGAATGAAGGTTTTATATGTATTGGAAATGGTATGAGTTACGGAAAACAAGAAACTCATTTCATGGGCAAAACATAAGATTGATTGTGTGTGGTTAATGTGGTGTGGTATGGTGCGGTGAAGAGAAATGCTTTGGCTTTTAGTAGGTGCTCTGTATGTTCTGTGCTTCCATTCAGTGCTGGAAGCACTCCAAGATCTAAAAGCTTGATGAGTCTGATGCATGGGGTACAGGAGGCGCACAACAATGTAGAATACACTTCTGTATAGAATCTAAAAGTGTAGCTTTCTGTACTTTTTAACCTATTTGGCACATTTACTGTATTATTCTGATTATAAGTCTACCTTTTTTTTCTCTAAAAAAAGACATAAAATTGCACTCAAATTCTATGTGGGGTCAATCTGTAATCAGTCCCCCATCAGTCTTCATTTTTGTACTTGCAGTATTTTGTGTCTGCTGTAAAAATAGCAAGTCAGAATTTTTTCAATGCAGTTTTTATTTTAGTATATTTTAAATATATTTAACCCTTTGGATGCTTTCTTTGGTTATTTGATTCTCCCGTGGGATTTTTTTTATCTGTTGCATTTATCTGTAGTTATCAACTTATATTTAGGAAAAGGGCTGCTTTCCCTAGAATTGAACCTTCAAATGTAGGGTTGACTTACAGTAGGGTAAGAATTCATGTCAGAATAAGAGATGCTTCTAAATTTAAATGAGCAAAAATAGCAATCCCTCTTCCAGGAGTATAGAAAGTCCATCTGGAGCAGAACTGGCACATTCCCCCTGCATAAGGAGGGGCTGAATGCTGAAGACTGCTCAGCTCCCAAGGTCCTCGCACGACAGAAAGCCTGGCTGCATACCACGGTGTGCAGAATGTGGCGGAGGCAGGAGCATCCACTGATGGCGCAGTCCTCCAGTTCTTCATCCCTGTAGCTGCCTCTGTATCCAGCCTGGCCCTGCCTGCTAGCATATCTCCCTTGTCCACATTTTGCCAACTTGATTAAGTTTTAGATGATGGATTAAGGCCAGAAATGGCTGGCTTGAAAGAGCTGCTGTTGTGCCTAAAGATGGAAAAGTTGGAGAAGAAGGTAGGTAAGCTTAAAAATGAGATGAAAGCCCTAGACAGAAATGTGGTGGTCAATAGGAATTTTACATTTTTCCATGTTGCTCTGGAAATAATGTCAGACTTCTCCAATTGGCAGAAAATCCATGGTTTATAAGTATTGCCCACTGCTGCATCAGCAATACTTTACCTTAGAACCCTTCTGTACTCTGACCACGTATAATTCTAACTATGCACACCGCTTTTCAGACTACCAACATTCAGTGTCATTTTCTGCTATCTAAAGCTATGACCTCACTGTGAAAAAAGGTGATTTTTTTTTTTTTTTTTACTCTGGCATAACTGACACCCATCTTGCCATAAAAATCCAAGTTGAGATAAGGCTCTCTGGTTTTTACCACAGTGGGATTTAGTGAGACCAACCTCAGATTGGAGGTATAAGCACTGACTTCATATAGTTATAGCAAAGTCAGGCTTGCTTGTC